TCTTGTGAGTACATAAAATTATGTGTTGATGTCCATTATGGTGTTTTATTTTCTGGTGATATTTCTTTTCATAGTTCGGAATAAATATTTAGGTATCTACAGTCTGAGACATATGATATATACATGAGGGTTTCCTTGTTTGGATTATTTCGCTCGACGTACTACGTCTCGTCTTATAGATTTCTAAGTATTAATACCATTAGATACGGGGAAAATAATGTAGATAGACTATGCTTAATAGATAGAGCCTCCACTATATCTAGCAGTCCTTTCCCTGGGGGACGGATTGACGTGATCTTGCTTTAGCGCTCTGACGTTCTTGTTGTTATTCTTTTATAAATTACTTTTTAGGTAGTTCAGAGTTTCAGAGAGCCGTAGGGTGACAGAGTTCTGGCATAGTCTCCATCGCATATTTTTACTTGTAGAGACTCCACTGTAGTTTGAGTTTTATCCAGACATTAGAGTTTTATTTTCATATTGTAAAGGCATTGTGCCTTAGTACAATTTCTTTTAGTTGATTCATGTTGAGATACTTTCATTATTCAGATATCAAATGTATTATAGTTGAGATATGATTCTTTTTATTTATGAGATATCTCTTCTATATCATGTCTATTACATTTATCCCCTTTATTTTGCATGCTTTGTACATGCACTTCTATTTGGTTGCACTAGAGGATATTGTTGTGATTGGTGAAACATGTTTATGCACAGTGTAAGTGCATGGCAGGTTTGACAACTCTGGTTTCACCTTGAACCGCAGCCTTGTGTGAACCCAAGGGCGTCACATCTTCTTAAAGAAAATAATAATTTTATATGGACTTTAGCTAAGGGTGGGCATGAGTCGAGCCAGCTTGTAGCTGAACCGGCCCATCGTTTGTGAGCCTTGACCTAGCCTGATTTATGTCGGACCTCGAGCCAGGCTAAGCCAAAACCTAAACCCAGGAACAAAGAATTAGGCTCAGTCCATTTTTGACCCAAATGGTCCAATCTGGCCCGAGTCTTTTTAGAAAAAAATTAACATAGCCCAATAGGAAACTAACCTGATTGCATACTGAGTGAGAAAAAGATTAACTATATATTAACTTTAGGCATAATTGATTGAGAAAAAAGAGATTCCAAGTGTAGGCTTAAAATAAATTTTTAATAGAGCGTGATGAGAATATCTCAAAAACATCAAGAAACCTAAAACTGAAAATGTTTGGTGAAACATTTTAATTCTTGAAGAAATGAACAATATACTTCCTAAGTTGGATGTAAAAACAAACATATTGATAAGAGGAAATCATGGTAGTAAATTACAGTCTAAGTGGATGTCCAATCTACAAAATAATAGTTGGCTAATAATAATTCATTAGTTAATAAATAAACCTATGGAAAAAGGCTTCAAAAGTTTTTTTCTCTCAATGTAGATCCTATTTAAAAACAATTTAATAAGCACCGACACAAATATAATAAATAAAAAAGGAAAAACGCTAAAATCACAGATCGACCCGTGACTTGCACTGTGTGGGCCGGGTCGAATACAACTCGAACCCATGTGAGTCGTGGTTCGAGCTAGATCGACTCCTAGACCCGCAAACAAAGAAATATGCTTTGTTTATGTGGGCCGGGTTGGGTTCGGGCTGGCTCATTAGTCGGACCTGACCCGACCTGCGTCCACCTTTAGCAATGTGACCTATTACTAATATCATGCCTGGCTTTTATTGTATGGATTAGGTAGTGCCTAAGGTGTTCTGACCCAAACTTACAAAGTCTGAGTCCTGTTTCATTAAGTATACACCGTTTGGAAACAAGAGAGCCTAATATTCTTGCTCATTCTTACTTGGACATTTTTTCTCGAATTTTGAATGATGTAAAGGGATACACTGTATGATTTCCCCCCTTTTATTGAATTGAACTAAATCTTCATATCTGTCAAGCATCAAAAGAGCAAGATATGCTAAGATTTGTACGCATTGAACCAATATTCCTCGTACAATCAATTCATGAATACAATCTCTGTTCAGCTAACCATATGATCATTCGTTGAATACAATATCTGCCTATATGGAAACTTCTTTACGCACTATATATTTCGTAAAATTCAAAGAAGAAAATTCATCCCCCACCTTGACTGTGTGCATGGTATAGTTATATACAATTAGATTGTGAATTTGGGGTTCTATATAAAAGATGTTAGATCAAAGGTAGTTTCTTCACAAAATAATGATAACTATTTGGCGTGCTAAACCGAAACAACTATCCCTTCCCATGCCAATCCTTGATGAAGCTTCATCTCCTCTCACATGCAGACTCCATGAAAAAAATAAAAGGTAAATATTGTCGAGGCTCAAAGAGGGAGGCATCTTCTTCGGTTCAACCGACAAGACTTCAAAGCCACATTTTCCAGCCTTGTGCATTAGCTGGACCAAGGTGTTGGTGTTAGTCTAAGTGTAGAACCAAAGCTGAAGCCGAAGCTGGAATCAAGAAGATGAAGTAAAACGAAGGAAACAGGAAAACTACAGTGCGGTTGACCGCGATGCTCTCGACGGTCGACCGCGAACATGCACGCGACTGAGAAAAGTCTGTGGACTTTTCACAATCGACTGCGATGGGTTATGCGGTCGACTGTAGATACCCTGTAGGCATTTTAGGTTTCTGACGTTTATCCCTATATATATATGTTTTCTAAGGCTAATGAGAACGTGAAAAACCATCACAAGAGAGAAAAAGAGTGAGAATCTCAAAGAGATTAATCCCTTGTTTGAGTGCTTGTATTCCTTTTTCAATTAATCAAAAAGATTGTGTGGTGTGGCTCCCGAGGACATAAGCACGTTGCCGAACCTCGTTAAATTCGTGTGTTCTCTCTTGTTCTTATTTTTGTAAGTTTTTATCTTTGATTTATGGTGAATTTCTTTCTTGCTCAACTTTCTAACAAGGTCCGGAAGGGCAATGGTTCGATTTGATTGTTTTGAATCCCCAATAACTGGTATCAGAGCTTCGTTCTGCAATTTGTGAGAAAGCCATGACAGAAGAAAGCAAATCTAAGATCGAGAAGTTTGACGGTTCAAAGGAAATCGCAGATGGAGGACTATATGTACCAGAAGGACTTGTATCGCTCATTGATGGGCAAGGATAAGGGATAGAAGAAAGAGGAGTCAGACGATGATTGGGAGATACTGGATAGGAAGGCTCTAGGGCAAATTCGGTTGTTGCTCGTCAAGATAGTAGCCCACAACATATTGAAGGAGAAGACAACAGTAGGGCTTATGGAAGCACTTGCGAAGATGTACGAGAAACCGTCTGCAGCAAACAAGGTGCATCTGGTCAAAACTCTTTTCAACCTCAAGATGGCAGAAGGACGGTCCTTCACGATGCACCTCAGCGAGTTCAACACGATTATTGATCAGCTTATCTCCGTAGACATCACGTTCGATGATAAAGTGTAGGCCCTTTTATTATTATCGCAGTTGTCGGATAGTTGGGCATGTTGTGTGACGGTAATCAGCAATTCAGCGGGGAAAAAAAGTTAAAGCTGAGTGAGGTGGTCAGTATAATTCTAAAAGAAAAACGAAAAAAAAGAAAAAACAAACAAACAAGCATTACGTCATGAACCTTGAAGCCAACGCTAGATTCATTAAGGTAAACTAACAAAAGTGGGATAACCTCGGTTTTACATTAGTTTGTGAGATTCTAGGTCACATATACTATGATTTGAAATCTGAAATGTGTATTGTCACATGCTAGAGATCAAAGTATCTGATGGTTTCTTTCCGAGTAAATGTCGTGTAGTGCTTAGAACGTCCGAAGATCGAATGTAAATGGTCACAATCTCTATCTTTGTAAATGTATATCAATCAATAAGAAATAAATATGAGTTTGCAAGAGACTAAACAGATGTTCTAATATGTGTTTAGCAATTTTATAATACTAGTTGGATTGCACGTGCAATGCACGTGGTAAAGTTTTCATTTTTTGTTTAAAATTTATAATTTAATTTATAATGTTTTGTTATAAAATTATGGAATGTAAGTAATGGATAAAACATATAGACATAATCTAAACATTCAACATTTTAACAATTAAATTACATTTATTGATTGATTGGGGGGCCAATGCAAATTTGTAAGCTAGTTAAGGGCTCACATTAATTTATCATAATTGAATTTTCGTTGCAGAAAACAATACTGATTAGATTTAAATTAAATGGAACACATTTGACCGTTTGAGAGAAACTTATAAGAATGTAAGAGAATTACAAGTTAAGAAGGCAAACAACCGTTATCTACCAACAAAGCACTGTTTTGCTCTGCCTTTATGCAGTTCCTTTCACTGTGATGTAAGTGTCCAAACATTATACATGCATTATCAGTCATGCTCTCAGTACAAATGTTCCACTCGATGACTCACTAAAGCTACTAAACTGAATGATTAATGTTACATTTGAGACGAGTAATACAATGTTAGAGGTTAGCCGCCGCTTTCTTCAAGAATGGGTTGTCTTCAATAGTACCTCGAAAGTCTGCTTTCCAGAAGATAGTCCGAAAGCCCAAGCATGCGGCCAAGCCAATTGAGCCCTTGCTGCACCTTCTGAGTTTTGAGGAAATGAATCTATAAGTTGTCCTCCAATTCATCTGGGAGATGCAATTTCTCCGTCGCAGACTGAAATTTATATATAAATGTTAATAGGTCATAAATAAAAGAGCACAACAAATACATGCATGTAATAATGAAGAATTAATTCATTGAATAGATTACTGCCTTAGTTTCATTGTTTCTACAGTAGAATGTATTTTATAAACCCCATAATTGGCTTAATCATGTGTCCATAATTGGCTAAAATGTCCAGAATCATACTCTCACCCCTTATTAGTTGTAAATGAGAGAATTCTACATCATGGCTCTTCGAAGTTAAGGGGGGAAGCTAAAAAATGATCACTAATTGTTTTAAATTTTTATACTTTTTGGTAGTAAATGAGAGTCTTTTACATCATGGCCCTTCGAAGTTAAGGGGAAAAACTAAAAAATAATTGCTAATTGTAGAAAGGGTGATTTTGCTGTATTTGTTGCTGACCAGCTAGAAGTAATTGTGCTGCAATGCAAAATCGAATCACATGAACACATGAAAGAAATCAGGACATCATAAGAAACATTATGTATGATTATATTAGGTATTTAAATGATTTATATATCCCTAAATCCTTATCTTAACGCTTTGTTTGGGAGTTTACTAAGGGAAGGGATGGAAAGTTAAATAATGCAAAGGAAAGGTAGGGAATGGAAGTGAAAAGATAAAATATTGTTTGGGAGTTTAGTAAGGGGAACGGAAGTAAATTTGTTCTACCTTGTTTGGGAGTTCTAATAAAGAGGAGGAAACTGAAGTGAATATGTATAAAGTTACATAAATACCCTTACATATCGAATGGGAGTATATCTTAGCCATTGATTTTAATGTCATAAGGATATAATTGTCTTATTACATTGTAAAATTTTACATTGGTTTTCATTCCATCCTCTACCCCCCAAATTGGAGGGGAGGAAAATGGAATGAAATTTAACCTTCCATTACATCCTCTAACCCCTCAAAAAAACTCCCAAACAATGTGAAATTGAAATTTACCCGAACAAGGTGTCAGATTTTTGGGTAAATTTTATATCTGGAGAAACACTTTTTCCATTCAATCCCACAATTTCTCAAATAAAGATGCAACCAAATAAATCCAGATGAGCTCAAGAAACATTATTACTACATGAATTGTTTTAGTCAACAAATTAGGGGCAAAACAATTTATAGCTGAAATACACACTGATATGTTGCATTTATGCTAGAACCGTGGAACAAATAAGAACAACTCACACATTGATCCATCACGTGTTTGAACAAGTGTAGCACGTAATTGATGAAGAAGCCCATCTTCATCCACCGTGACTGCCGGTTGCCACTCTTTAGCTCCATCGATCGGGGAGACATTAACAGGAGCTGTTATGCTCACTGGGTCACTTCCAACTTGAGTAACAGTTATCGATATTCCAATAGCAGCCGCAGCTTGCATAACCTACAAGACCAAAGAAACAAATAAAAGCTACATACTTCAAGAACAACAAATCACCGTATCTTTATAGTTTATACCATACAAATATACTCCAACTAACCTGAATATGGCTTGTTTCAATCTTATCAAGTAGCGGGTTCATCAGAACCGAAGAAAACCACTGTCTAATTCTATCCTCCCACTGTCTAATCTGAGGATACACACCCAAATTCTCAAAAGCCTCAACTGCTTGTTCCATTGACATTGGAGAAGGAAGGTCTCCTTCTCCTTTCTTCGGTGGCGTGGTATACTTCTGATGGGAACCAGGGGACATTCTCACAGGCCTCAATGGAGTGCTTCGAGCTGTGCCTGAAGCAGTAGCTGAGCTGCCAACCGATCCAGGGCTAGCAATGCCAAAGCCCCTAATGGTTGATTGAGGTGTTGTGATCACAGACTTAGTTGCTGATTCAGTGAACTTCTCATCGACATCAGCTAAGTATTGTTCTAACATTTCTTACGTTAGTATCCCCTTTGCACTGCCTGAGCTCTGCCTCGACCACGGAGAAGCCCGAGTAGGAGAAGTTGAAACTGGTGATATTGGGGTTTTCTTAGCACTATTGGAGCTCTGGTAATCCAACCCAATTCTTGACTGGCGAGAAGGGGTAGACCCGAAACCCGGTTTTCGAATCGGAACCAGAGTCTCCAAGGTTCGCTGAGGAGTAATGGGTTTTGATTTGGGTTGTTTCTTCGATTGCTCAGCCTCAGCATTTTCAGTTGCTTTTGGGTTCAGCCCAAGTAATCCAAGTTGCCGTTGAGTTAAAAGATTATCCTTTTCCACGGGTTTCTTCGTAATGGATGCAGCAATAGCCAGTGCCTTCTTCGTTTTACGCAGCGATAAAGCTCAAACGGGTTTCTTCGTAATGGATGCAGCAATAGCCAGTGCCTTCTTCGTTTTACGCAGCGATAAAGCTCAAATCAGAGCCGATAGTGACAGCACAAGCAGCAACGTGATCAAACCTTGCAAGCATTTGGAGATTAAAACTGTAGAAAAACAGTGGGGAATTTTCACAAACACTTCGTGGGCATCTTTAAAAAGACACAGTTTTCACTCTGAGCAGTACTTACAAGCTGTAGAGAGAGGAACATGAATTTGGGTCAAGTTGTAGACCAACTGCTTCTCCCTGAAAAAAGAAAGATATCAAAGTTTTACAAAAAGAACCCCGAAAAAAGTTGGGTTTTTAGAGTGGGACCTGGAGCTTAGAAGGTGGAGAGAGAAACCGGCGATTACGGCAGCGGCGGAGGAGAAGAGGAGGGCGGAGGTGGAGGGCTGGAGGCTGCAGGCGGTCAGAGCAACGGAGAACTTATGGTTTTGGTAGACTGAGAACTTGGGTTTTTTTGAAGAGGAAGACGAAGGGCTCTGCTGTGATGCCAATATTTTTTTTGTGGGTTGTTTCTGCAAATGGATCGCAGAGTTCAGGTTAGAGGTTGGCGCTTGAACTCGGCTTTTTTTTGTGGGTTGTTTCTGCAAATGGATCGCAGAGTTCAGGTTAGAGGTTGGCGCTTGAACTCGGCCATCGTCATATTTGTGCCAAAGATTCCTTTAAGCCTTGCTTCTTCTTCTTCTTCTTTTATTTTTATTTTTATTTTTATTTTTTTTGCTTTATTTGGTTTTTTTCTGTAAAGTATGTTGATGGCTGATGTTCAGGTTATGCTTTTGTTGGAAGGCTTCAAAATTCCATGTCTAAATTAAGGGGGAAATATCAACTGTTATATCCTAGCTTGTGGTGATTGACGACGACGATTTGTCCGCTCCCCATCCTGTTATAACTGTTATATAAACTTTTGGATATGAGACTTTTTAAGTTCTGTTCGCATCCCTATTGTAAATTTTTTATATTTTAATATTTTTTCAATGAATAGGTCACCTTGCCTTCTTTTTCTCTTAAAAAAAACGGGAAGAGGATAAAATCCATATTAAACCCTATAGTTTTTATCTAACTTGTACTTGAAAATAGTTTAGGCCATACAAGTACGTGAATAAATTTAAAACGTAATAGATCTCAACATTTAAGATAACCTTAGGCATCTGAAATAAGAAAGGAAAATAATAAAGGGAAAGGACAGACCATACAAAAAAATCTGAATGCAGTACCTTGATAGCAGCAAAACATCAGCTGCTGGAGGATTCAGGTCCAATGCAATACCAAAGTAGAACATGGCCTTAGCATGCATATTAAGCCTCTTGTGAATCTTCCCCATCAACGCATAGATGCTGCTCTCACATGTAGTGAACTCTTTTACCTGCTCCAAATGCTTCAATGTCGTATATAAATATCATAGGACAAAGCTCCAATATAACAAAGAACCAATATATGGTTGGATATTTTCTTCATAATTAACTAAAGTAACAATTTTCAGGTTAATTACTTATAAACATTAGCATTTTCAATATTAAGTTTTGTATTGGTAAATCATGTTCCTGAATGCATAAAAAAAAGTATCACCAAAAGAAATCAATACATTTATGACAACCAAATTCCAAGGTTACTAATTTGGTCCACAGTGATCAATTTTATTGAACAAATAATCTTTAATTGTAGCTGTACTCATAGTTTGTCCACATATTATCTAAATTATCAAACAAATATGTGCACTGGATATCAATCGGAAACTGTCCATGTATAAGTCCTATATATTTTAATCTACAAACTCCATAGAAGCCTCAAGACTATTTGAGTGGTACTTGAACCCATCAAAATGTTAAAATGCAATTTGCTACGAGTATTCACATTGGAAAAACAATGGTGTCTTGTCACCGCAGACATGCATGTTATTCAGATCGTGCAATTTTCAGAACTTATAGCAAAAGGAGATTGTAGTTCCCAACTTGAGGTTGACATAACACACGTGAAGGTACTGATGATAAATTGCAAAAGGTGCAGAATATGATAAAAGTGGTAGGAAATCTTCAATTATACTCCCCAGTCCCCACATCCATTTCTGTTGCAGCAACTATCAAACTGCAAGATGAAAAGCAAAAAAAATGTAGCATTGTAACAATCAGACAATAAAATCTTGTTTAAAGATACTTTATCCCGATTTACACCTAGTAAAGCCCTTCTCTTTCCATGATTTTATGTCTTATGATGATGCCTGCCTTCCTGCAGGTACTGGTTTTTACACTAAGGAAGAAGTGCTCTGATGCGTGTCATCAACTCCATAAGAAGAACATGGCAATAAGGACACATTACAGGCATTATAATGCAGTTCTAAAGACTGGACGTTCGGTTCCTTTTCAAAGGAAACAGCGCCAAGAGAATGCATCAATAAGCATCAGTACTTCAATAAGTAGACTGCGGAAAATACATATCCTCGTTTCTGTATAATTTTCCTCTTCGATTGTTATGCGGTTAGAGCATGTAAAAGGGATGCTGGACTGTACCTGCGGTATACTTCATTACTGAAATTGAATATCCTCACTATATCAAGGGAGGGTGGCTTTGTTCCAAAATAGGTACTGCACACATGACCTGAACCTGCAAAGTAAAAGACATAGTCAACATAATTTTCCAATAATATCTCAATATCAAAACATAGACACAAAATTCTATGTTATGAAACAATGAATTTTAATTTTTTGGCATATATAAACCTAATACATTTTATAGGTTTGCGGATCAAAGCTATCATAGAAACTAAACCACATAACTGATAACAAGTTTATTCATATATAGCAGCTCATAAACACTCAATGTTCTACATGAAGCCTATCTTCCAATGGTTAGGGAGGGCTGTAATTAGTATTGGTCTATTAAGATCAACATGTTGGACCAGTGAGTTTAACTTGAACACTGTTTGCTATTATGATGAGAAGTTTGAGTGAAGGAAATGCATGCTCACCAACTAAGCAACTGAATGATCTAAGTAAACATGTCGATGACCACTGGCAACAGGATTTTTATAAATTTAGCTCTCATTTATTTTTTATTGGATAGTACTTGCATATCGAAGAACTATATTGGATCCTTTGAAATATCATAGATAACATTATTATTCTAACTATTTAGTCTTTTTCTTACAACCATCATAATGTAGTTTTACATATTAGCTGGTTGGTATATATGAATGACATGTTTTGAACACAGATATTCAATAAGCCATTATCCGAAAAATCCATACAATTGTTTACAATTCCAAAATTGATGCTGGACAGGATGAAGTTGTAACATGTATGTGAAAACACACTTACGCATGCACATATGCATACACCAGAACTTGAATGAGCATACGCAGACACATCCTACCTACTAAACTACATAAGTATACATATGGCTAGCGCTTTAGAGTCTCCAAAGACGAATGAAGTTTGTTCCAACCTAAGTTGCATGGAAACGGGTAGGGGTACATGTACCGGTAGGGGTGCAGGTAACACGCGCACGCGTGCACACACTATATATATATATATATATTGTGAGGAACAGGGTGCTTAGGCATACCCAATTCACCCAAAATAGGCATACCCAATTTCAACAACACACGCATATTGTCAAGGTGGCCATTATGAGGAACAGGGTGCTTAGGCATACCAAATTCACCCAAAATAGGCTTAAGGCGTCAATATTCAATAGGAGCGCGTAGATGCCATATTGTGATGCCTCAGAGCTGCCTCCGCCAAGGTAGAAGCCGAGATTGCTTTTTAAACAGCATGATAGTATAAAACAAATGCCCTATTGTATACAGGAAAACTGTAATGAAATAATGCAAGAGAATAGAAGTCATACTCATGGCCGCATAGTGTATGAGCATAAGCAAATCTCGAGTCTAGTTGCACTGCATGCAGAAAATTTTTCATTGTAGTTTCATGATCTTTCAACAAACTATAGCAATTTCCCATGGCACACCTACATCACCATTTAGCAAATAAATCATGAATCCATAATAAAAAGTGTACAGCAGAACACAACAGATAGAGAAAAACATATAAGGAGAACCAAGTGTAAACATCAACACTTCTAGGAACAACCACATTGAAATATTAATGAGAAACAAGCATAACTGCAGCAAGGAGAAGTGTGCTATGTACACGATTTAAAACTCTCACTTAAATTCAACATTTTTTGTCAAAAAAATCCAATTATGTAAGAAATAAGGTAATCATAATCCATTTTGATTACTTTTATTGAAATTTTATTAAGCAAAAGAAAATTACAGGGACGCATATGAAATTCATGGAGTTGTCCATCATAACATATGAAGTTCATGGAGGTTGCAGCAAAATGAAATACCTATACAGTCTACTACATATTAACGCTATACCTTTTAGCAGCAGATAAGCTAGACTTTGGAGGAACCTTAGAGAATGCACTTAGTATCCTTCACCATCAAAACCAATTAAGACGAATATCACCAAGTAATAAATATAACAAAGTATGTAATTTGTTAACCCATGACTACGTTTTAGTTTATAAACAACCAAGTCAGCATAAAAGGGAAAAACAAAATGTTTAGCAGCAACAATATGGCTGACAAATATATAGATTGCAATAATAAATAAAGAGCAGTGAAATGGAAAACTCAAGTCACAACAACACAAAGTTTAAGATGATCAGCTAGGTCGTACCTGAATGTGATTGACAATATCAGCGGCTGCCACCCTTGACCCTTCCTCATGCTGTCTCAATATCCATTGGTATACTTTTTCATGCAGAAATACAGAGCTTCTTTCAGAATGTATTAAGCTTGTTATAGCAGTTCAATATACATTACTAAGAGATGCATTATAGCGAACATTCCCAAAAAGACTACAAAAATGGAATCCTGGTATTGAATCTATTGATAATGGTTTACAATCACGATTTAGTATTGACAGATGGACTTTAAGGCAGTTTTAGCGGTTTCAGATAAATATTATCAAATTATTAGCATCAATAGATGAAAAACCAAAATTTCTAAAATAACCAAATACCTTCTTATGTTTTCCAATTTTCAATTAAAATTAAATTGAGACAAAATCTTGTGGAATCCAACAGCAAAAATTTCTAAGTTGATTTGGCAATTTGATTATTAATCTAAGAATCTAAGATACGTTATGTCCTGGAGATGTTAACAAAATGCCCCAATCTAATACTGACTGTTGAGTTTTCAAGAATATCGCTGTCGTCACATTCCCTCCACGGGCTCCATCGAGAAATCACCATAGGTAGTTGCTACATTTTCATCTGGTGTAAATCCTTTAACTAAAGAGAATGTAAACCGCACAGATGCCTTCAGACATGAAGCCATGTTATGTATGTGAGAAATGTCATGAACAAATTGTACGAAATTAGATGCTTTACAGAACATGATTTGATTATGAGATTAGATGCTTTGCCAAGTTATCTGTCGGTTACAGACATTCTTTTGAAAAGTCCACTAAATGATGGAAGCTTTGCTCTTAAAAATACGAAAACAATATAATTATTAGCACATCATTTAAGTATCAAATTTTATGACAAAGGATACTGGAAATGCATGTGTTGTACATGAGGTGTAAGTTTTTGAACCACTAAGTACTGACCTCTGGAAAAGAGCTGCAACAGCTTCACATTCTTGTTGGTTGTAAAACCATATACCATTAACTTCTTGAGCTGCATTCCGGTACAACAAGTATGGAGGTTGGATTTCATACTCAAAATCTCCCAAGATATCCTCCACCAAATTTTCTGTGTCGCAAAATGAGTCAGCTAAAAATATGTACGTACCTACACCTCTATTCATGTGTAAAGTTGCATATATGAGCTGCTGTCAATCTGATGCATCAAACAACTAAGGTTTTGAGAAGATGTCCATGGCTTGGATTCATGCCATGGCCTGTCGCATACTTGAAACCCCACAGAACCGTGATTTGGATACACTACTTCTAGCGACACCATAATACAAGAATTCATCAACAACAAATATATTTGCAGCTGCAATCTGTCAAAAACAGCTATACCAGGTGTGCCTCATGTTTTTAACATAATATGACATATTTGACTGCTCTATGATCTGATTGCTGAAGCTAAGCATACTTAAAAGTCAAGATAGCTTCTTTCATGTGTAAAGGCTAACGAAGTCAATAAATGTCAATGGCAAACATCACAATTAGACTCTTTGAAAGTAAAGAGTAGCATGACCATGTGAATTAGACATAACATATGACTACCCGTGCTTTTCACCTCCTTAATCCGTTCGATCTACTCGCATCCTACCACTATTGCTACTGGCTTACACATTAACCTCCATTTACCCATAGCCAAAACATCAAATTAATCAAACAAATAAAAGGGGGGAAATTACACAACTGCGTTCCTTCTGTTCATAACAATGAACTGGAATCTCGGCTGCGTGTTTCTGCATAAATCACAATTGAAAAAATATTAAAAAAATACCTCAAGAAATCAAACGAAGAAGTTCAAATTCCTTAGATCTAGTTACCTTTTAACAACAAACAAAGATCCCTCAACATCCTTACGACTCTAAGGTCACAAATCCACACCAAAACCCTAATCAGAGATCACGAAAACAAAAACAAAACAAAAAAAATCATCAAATATGATCAAAATCATACCCACTGATTGAGCTCAATGTTGAATTCGTAGAAAGTAACGTGAGCAGCCGTGATCAGGATCTCCTCCACATGGGGATCGATCCTCTGAAGAACAGTCAGATTCAGGACTTTGGTGCTCTGCTGATCGAGGTTCAGATTAGGGCAAAATTAGAACAAAATAAGAGGACTGAAGAACTAAAAGGGGATAGCGTGAATTAAGCAGAACTAACGCTTAGAGTTAGGTTTTTGTATAGAGGAGTGAAGACGAAGAAGAAATACCTTCCTGAATGCATTCATGAAATTAACCAATGACAAACCAGATAACCAATCTCCAACAGAAGGCCAAGAAAATATGATACCTAAAGACAAAAAACATGACAAAACAACCGTAGGGAACCAAAAATTCCTTAAAATAAAAAAACAAAATATTAATTCGCAATCAACTAACGCATTCATTCATCTAGCAAACTAAATAATAAGTAGTAGCAAAAAGAAGGTCAAAACCACAATAGCTAAATTCGCAGCATATTCATGTGCAGATATAAGCTATTATTTATCTGATGAAACATATGCTATGCTGAATAAGCCGAAAATAAACAGAAAATGAACCTGCAATCTGAAATCGGCGTCATCGAACTTCATCTTCTCTAGAATAGAGAGGCAAAACTCCACCGACTTCTCAAGGATCACCAAAACCAACGACTCTCCGCTCTCCGCTGCTCAAAAACATCGACCAATTAGCCCTAAAAAATCACAACAAAACTTCCAATTCCATCAAAACAAAAGCAAAACCTGAAATCGAGAGAGAAGAGCCGACGAGCAATTTGGCGGCGAAGATGACTGCATCGATCTGAGACGCGCTACACGATTCCAACCCTAGCCGGGCTTCGGAATCGAGGATCGCAAGGAATCGAAAGAGACCGGACTTGATCGGAGCGGAGCGGAAGCGGTGAGCGAAATCGCGAGGGGGACTGCGATCCTTGAAGAGGTCTAAGAGATTGGGAAATCGCGATGGGGACTGCGATCCTTGAAGAGGTCTAAGAGATTGGAGATCTCTTCCATGGCGATGGAGAGATCAGTTCATGAGACGAGTCGGCGAATCGGAGAGGCGATGACGTGGGGTTGAGGGGGGAGAAAAGGGGATGACGTTGGTTTGGGGGAAAATAAATGAGAAAAAAACGAAAATCGAAAAAACACATCAGTACCCAAACACTCACTTTTGGTAATTAAATTTGGTGGAAGGCTATTTTGGGGAGGGTAAAGTTTTTTTGGAACTCCCTCTTTTAAAGGGTAGATAGATAGATAGATTAACAAAAAATATAATTACTAATTATGATTGAGTCATATATACATAAAAATTATGCAATATTTCATCACTATTTAAACCAAAATAATTACCTTTAAGGTAGAGTCATATATACATAAAAATTATGCAATATTTCATCACTATTTAAACCAAAATAATTACCTTTAAGGTATAGTAGAGTCCATTTAACAGAACATACGGATTTCATCACTATTTAAACCAAAATAATTACCTTTAAGGTATAGTAGAGTCCATTTAACAGAACATACGGAGGGAAAAACTCAGTGCATATATCAAATTATTCAACTCAAAGAAATGAAGTAAACCCAAACACAATAGTAGTTTAATAATATTCAACAGATATCAATAAAAATACGTTACAAAATGCTAGAATTGTAAGAGAAAAATCATAGAAATAAAATAAAAAATTTAATTTACCTTTACTCCTCCAATCAATATCGGACAACTAACAACAACAATCAACAATCAATCAATCATCAATACCAAAAATAAATATAATCCATCAAACAATCAAACTGAGAATATGAATCAGAAATTACAAGAAGGTAATAAGAATAACCAATATCCATACTAACAATTGGAAGAAAACCCATTCGTTGTTCCATCAAAATTGCAGCAAAAGGTATTTATAGAATCATAAAACGGAAGGGGAGGGCAGGTGAGAGGTAGAGGGAAACTGACGGAAGTCTGAACGTCGAAATAATTTAGAGACGGGGAGAGGGAGAGGGGCAGAAGAAAGCAAGGAGAGGGGAAGGAGAGAGGTCGGATCCGTTTGGGCGTTTTCAAAGAGAGAGGGAGAGGGGAAGGGGAGAGGTCGGATCGGTGTTGAGAAACGGAAGAAGCAGAGAGATGAAGAGGCGGTTGCGAAGGGGAGCGGCAGGGGAAAGGGTATATTTTAGATTATATAGGATAAAATTAGAATTACAAAATTTGAAGAGGGCAATTTGGGTATGCAAAAGTTATGACAATGGTTTTCTCTTTTAGAAGTAGTATAGATTTGAGAAATTTAAGAGATGTACTAAATATATATTTTTCTGCAGAAAACTACATCACTTGTATAATCTTTAACTGTGATTTTGAGATAGCAAATTAAATCCAAATTTAAGCAAACTAGTTCCAAACGAAAGCTATATGTATCTAGTTTCTAAAACAGAAAGCTATTCTTAAAAAGAGTTTGTATAGAGAAAGATATGTTCTTTTTACTAAGAACATGTCCTGCAGAAAAACGATTGCACATGTATAATGTTTAACTGAAGATTTGGGATAACAAACGAACTCTAAACTGAACCAAACTTATGTCAATTGAAAGATGTGTGAATCTAGTTTTCAAAACTGAAAACCATTTCTAAAAAATAATTTTCCTAGAGAAAGATATGCTTATTTTACTAACAAAAGTCCTGACTAATTTTCCCGCTCGTTTTGTGGAGCTGTGTTGCTCCATTTTGAGATGTGTTCGCGGAGTTTTGAGCCGCTTGATGTTACACGTATAATCATGAATATGTTGTGTTACGCATTTGAGAATCCTAAGGGGATTATGATGAGTTTTGAATTGATCATATTCGAAATTAGATATCGTTCATACACATGTTGGATGTCGTTGATGAGCACAGCTCAGTACTATATGGAATAGTACGTCGACATAGCAGATATACACAGTTTATACATATGTCGGATATCGTTAATAGGCTCAGCTCAGTACTATATGAGATAGAACGTCGATATACCAGATTTATATAGTTTATACACATGTCAGATATCGTTAATGGGCTCAGCTCAGTACTATATGAGATAGTGCGTCGATATGCCAGATTTATACAGTTTATACATGTGATGGATATCGTTGATGAGCTCAGCTCGGTACTATATGGAGTAGTGCGTCGATATTCCATTTGAACAGGTCATTGAGTCGGGTTTGAATGCTTTGTCTAGCAGTCCGTTCCGCACGAGTGTGCGATGAGGCTTGTGAGCCGTCTTCTAGGATACATATATGGTTGGCCGTCCTGCACTCATGTTACGTATTGAGATCGCGATGAGACAAATGAGCCATGTATATTATTTTAGGATACCTACAGGGTAGTCCGTGTTGCATGATAATGCAATAAAGTCAAAATCTTACAAAGAGTTGAAATGAAACGATTAATTGATAGGCTGAGTTTTAGTGGATACCAAAATTGTTTATGTCATACTGCTATATATATATGAGAAAAATGAGTATGCTTGGTACCAAGTACAAAAATTTATGCTTGGTAGTGAGGTGGCGTAATCCATTCCACTCATTCAAATGGTTGCATATCCTCATGCACTCCTCAACCCATGTGAATGTGGTCCCTCATTTGAATGAGTGGAGGGGATTGTGCCACCTCACTACCAAGTACAAAATTTATGCTTGGTACCAAGCATACCCATATTTTTCTCTTATATATATAAGAGAAAATATGTGTATCTAAAACCACAACACACCAAATTTAGGGTGAACCCGTCGTGGTTTGATCCTCCGTCGAGCCATGTAAAAAGTTCTATTCATTCGAAACCGTTAAAATTGATACGAGTGGATGAATGTTCAAACCACGACGGGTTCATCCCAAATTTGGTGTGTTTGGGTTTTAGAATATGTAGATCAAGTTTAACGGAGCGGATCATCCACAATGTAGCTCAATCAAGTGATCATCAATGACTAAGAAACTTAGTGGACGTCCACTTAAGTCGACATAAGTTTCTCTCTCTATATATATAAACTTATGTTAACTTAAGTGGAGGTTCACTAAGTTGACATAAGTTTCTCTCTATATATATATAAACTTATGTCAACTTAGTGTTTGGGTTTTAGAATATGTAGATCAAGTTCAACGGAGCGGATCATCCACAATGTAGCTCAATCAAGTGTATATATATATATATATATGAGAAATCTTTTCAGGTTATCATGCTGTATATTTCATCTTAAAAAAATATTATTTACATGTTTAAGTGATACAGTTTTCACAAAATCTTAAAACTCAAAGAGGAAAATGTGCAAAATATAAAGTGATTCTTCTTCATCCTTTATGTACAAAAAGAAAGAAAAAATTTACATCAATATCCACTTGAATAATAATTTTTGAGATACGATCCTCATCTTTCAAACATTGTGACGCTTGTTGTATAAGACGCGGTCCTCAACACTAATAATTGGACTATGAATTTTTCTTTGTGTATGATACAGTCTCCGTCCCATACAGGCATGTCACATATGCCACATGACATGACACGGTCCGCAACTCTCATGTTAAGCTTATTATTTATGGCAATATGTGATCCTCATCTCTTATGTCTAGTCACATTTCATGGTGACGTGCGATACACAATACTTGTCTCAGCGCTCGACAAGTCTTATTGTGAGATGAGACCATCATCTCTCCTCTGACCCAATGCAAGAATGACTTTATAATTTGAAGGCTACAAATGGACAAAAATGCATATTAGTAATTCAACTAGATGTTTTTGGTAATATTATTTGTCTGCTTGGAGAGATACTTACTGTTGGGATCCCTCTTTAATTGAGAAAATTCTAGAAAATTCTAGAACTTATTGGAGAACTCTAGAGAAGTGTGGAATTCTCTAGAAGCGTGTGGAATCCTCTAGAATATTCTAGAGATGTGTGGAGCATTCTGGAACATTCTGAAAGAGTATTGAATAGAATGGAGGTGTAGAGATTTCTTAGAAATCTCTAGAAAGTAAAGATATGTGTGGAGAATTCTAGAGAGCTAATCTATACCATTGGATCAAATTAATCCCCACCACTCATTATGAATGTAGAGTAGTATAAACATGGGTGGAAGCCTTCATTCCTATCCATCCAAGACAAGAACAATCCACTTCCTAGAGTGAGAGAAAACCTCTAATATAGAGTTAGAAAGCCTCTGAGAGAGAAGTGAGATAGCTTGAGAGTCCTAATCCTCAAGCTCGAGTGAGCCACCGAAGTGAGACAATTTTGTAAAATATAAATTCTTGTAATCTTACTATTCTTTTAAGCTCGAGTGAGCCACCGAAGTGAGACAATTTTGTAAAATATAAATTCTTGTAATCTTACTATTCTTTTGTATAGTGGAAGAACCTCCATTGGAGGACCATAAACTCTTGTGCTCTCATTACTATCTTAATTTATAAGTATCTATTTTAACTTCACGAGGCGGGAAAGGCCGAGTTTTCCCAACAGTGGTATCAGAGCCAAGTTCGTCCGAAGTCGTCGTTAGCATGTGAAGTTCAAGATGGAGGATAATGTCACTTACGATGGAGACATGTTCAAGCTCATGGCCAACAACTACTCATACTGAAAGTCGATGATGGAGGACCATCTATACTGTAAGGATTTACATGAGTCCATCATCCACAAAACCAAGGTAGAAGGAAAGAGCGATGCAGAGTGGGAGCTGCTAAATCGGAAGCCCGTTGTTATGATTCGTAAGTATATTGATAAAACTCTCTTTGAACATGTTTCTACTTATACAAATGCTTATGAATTATGGACAAAGCTTGAGTCCATGATTCAAAAGAAAACGCCTCGTAATAAAGTCCATTTAGTTCGACGGTTGGTGAAGTTGGAGTATAAGGATAGTCAAAGTATGATTGAGCACTTGAATAATTTCAAGGGCTTCGTAAATCAACTAACGAAAATTGACATGAAGATTGATGATGAGTTCCAAACCCTTCTACTCCTTAGTTCTCTGCCAGAAAGTTAGGACACTCTCGTGGTTACACTTAGTAACTCAGCTCCGGAAGGAAAGCTCACCATGGATACCGTCAGTGACAGCCTTCTC